AAAGTTCTAATATCTTGTAAATGGTCGAGATCCCCACCCCTAAACCATATATATTCTGGTTTGTCATGATAAAACACATGAAATGAAATACAGGGTTAGTCCCCAGGGGTCACCCCCACCCCATGCCATTTAAGAAAGTTCTAATATCTTGTAAGTGGTCAAGATCCCCACCCCTAAACCATATATATTCTGATTTGTCATGCTAAGATGGTTTGAATGATATACAGGGTTAGTCCCCAGGGGTCATCCCGACCCCCTGCCATTTGAGAAAGTTCTAATATCTTGTAAATGGTCGAGATCCCCACCCCTAAACTATATATATTCTGGTTTGTCATGATAAAGCACATCAAATGAAATACAGGGTTAGTCCCCAGGGGTCACCCCCACCCCATGCCATTTAAGAAAGTTCTAATATCTTGTAAGTGGTCAAGATCCCCACCCCTAAACCATATCTATTCTGGTTTGTCATGCTAAGATGGTTTGAATGATATACAGGGTTAGTCCCCAGGGGTCATCCCGACCCCCTGCCATTTGAGAAAGTTCTAATATCTTGTAAATGGTCGAGATCCCCACCCCTAAACCATATATATTCTGGTTTGTCATGCTAAGATGGTTTGAATGATATACAGGGTTAGTCCCCAGGGGTCATCCTGACCCCCTGCCATTTGAGAAAGTTCTAATATCTTGTAAATGGTCGAGATCCCCACCCCTAAACCATATATATTCTGGTTTGTCATGATAAAGCACATCAAATGAAATGCAAGGTTAGTCCTCAGGGGTCACCCCCACCCCCTGCCATTTAAGAAAGTTCTAATGTAAGTGGTTAAGATCCCCACCCCTAAACCATATATATTCTGGTTTGTCATGCTATGATGGTTTGAATGATATACAGGGTTAGTCCCCAGGGGTCATCCCGACCCCCTGACATTTGAGAAAGTTCTAATATCTTGTAAATGGTTGAGATCCCCACCCCTAAACCATATATATTCTGGTTTGTCATGATAAAGCACATCAAATGAAATACAGGGTTAGTCCCCAGGGGTCACCCCCGCCCCCTGCTATTTAAGAAAGTTCTAATATCTTGTAAGTGGTCAAGATCCCCAACCCTAAACCATATATATTCTGGTTTGTCATGCGAAGATGGTTTGAATGATATACAGGGTTAGTCCCCAGGGGTAACCCCCAGCCCCTTCTATTTAAGAAAGATCTAATATCTTGTAAGTGGTCAAGATCCCTACCCCTAAACCATATATATTCTGGTTTGTCATACCAAGATGGTTTGAATGATATACAGGGTTAGTCCCCAGGGGTCACCCCCACCCCCTGCTATTTAAGAAAGTTCTAATATCTTGTAAATGGTCAAGATCCCCATCCCTAAACCATATATATTCTAGTTTGTCATACCAAGATGGTTTGAATGATATACAGGGTTAGTCCCCAGGGGTCATCCCGACCTCCTGCTATTTGAGAAAGTTCTAATATCTTGTAAATGGTTGAGATCCCCACCCCTAAACCATATATATTCCTGTTCATCATGTCTCGAACATTTGAATGACGTATACGGTCAGTCCCCACTGGGTTCCCCCCACCCCCAATGTTCTAATATCTTGTAAATGGTCGAGAACCCCACCCCTAGACCATATATATTCCTGTTCGTCTTTTCTCGAACATTTGAATGATGTATAGGGTCAGTCCCCAGGGGTTCTCCCACCCCCAATGTTCTAGTATCTTGTAAATGGTCGAGATCCCCACCCCTAAACCATATATATTCTGGTTTGTCATGCCAAGATGATTTGAATGATATACAGGGTTAGTCCCCAGGCATCAATAATGCATTAACTTTACTGGACCAAACCAATTTTCACTGGACTTTGTCCAATGTCAGGCGACACTGGGAATTACGAATTATGGGAGCTTTGTTTGGGAGACTTCGTAACAGCATCCTGTTACAATCATTTCTTGTTTCTGTATTGGCCTTGTTATTGGTCCTCGGCCAGCTGTATTGGCGAAGCCTCAGGCCAATACAGCAAGCCTTGGACAAATAACAAGGCCAATACAGAAATAATCACGTAATGATATCTTTATTAATTAACTTACTATGTACATACAGCGTTTACCTTTTTTTTGTGTTTTATTTCCTTTCACAAGATTTTAACATGTTTTTCATTGAAAAAGAACTATCTAAATCTAAGTTTCCTTTTATAAGCTCTGCAATGTCAAATGATGTTTGGAAGAGTCTTCTACATTTTTTGATGATTTGTTAACCCTTTTCAGTCACTATAAAGTGTTACAATACATATTATTTCTGTATTGGCCTTGTTATTGGTCCTCAGCCAGCTGTATTGGCCTGAGGCAAAGCCTTGGACAAATAACAAGGCCAATACAGAAATAATCACGTAATACATGTAATATCATATTAAAACGTCTACAAATACTTCCATTGCTTCATACTCGAATGTAAACAAACTATGGGGTCGATTTTGTCATCAAAATAATTTTAGAATGGAATGTGGAAAGCAACCAATGAGAACATCTTTCTACAGGGAAATCCTTCTTCTGACGTAATATCGACTTAAAATAAAAATATCTGTGTGATTTGATTGGCTAGAACTCAAAACCTTTACCTTATATAGAAAGTCAATATAGGGACGACCAGCACTGAATGAACCTACTGGAAGTTATCAATATATTGACGACCGGCAGTACAGTAAAGTTATATGGGCCATCACTATATCGACGTCCTGCAGTACTAGGGTAAAGTTTGCCTCAACCAAATGTTATGAAACTTATACACAATACTTATTACCACAAAACTCAGTTCAAGTATAAATTTTGGTAGCATCACTTTTACCGTTCTTCAGTTATGTCCCTTTATAACTTTATATGATATGCAAGTGGGGGCATCATCTGTGGCCCATGGACACATTCCCCATTTATTAGTCCCCTGCCGACGAAGTCGAAGGGGACTTTAGGTTTGCACTTCGTCTGTCTGTCTGTCTGTCCGTCCGTCAGTCCGGCAAATGAGTTTTCCACACTTTTTTTCTTCGTGCTTGAAGATATTGATTTGATATTTGGTATTTTGTTTTATCATGACAAGTTACAGATCTGTTTAGAATTTTGTTCCGGTCTGATAATTTTGTGCAGATTTATGGTCCTTGGACTTCGAAATTTCACTCAAATATTCAGTTTTCCTCACTTTTTTTCATCATCATGCTTGAAGATATTGACTTGATATTTGTTATATAGTTTACACCATGACAAGTTATAGCATTTTGTTCCAGTACAATTAATTTTTAACCGGTAGGGGACTACCGGTATGTATTGCCATGCAATACTCTCAGAATGCTTGTTTCAAATAATTTCCAAATCCATGTCTGTCCTTCGATCATCCTCCTCTAATTTCAAGGACTGCTTTAAGTGTAGGGAGAAAATGAATGTCCTTGAGGAGTGTTACCGAAACAGGATCTGACATTTTTGGTTTCCTCGCAACTTTTGTTTTCTATGGGTCTCAAAGAAACAGAAGGCAAAGAATCTATGATTGATAAAAGATAAAACAAAGAATGTGATGATTTCTTAGTCCGACAGCCATTAGAACTATGTATGAATTGGTTGTTAAGAAATGATGATTTAAAAAAAAAATTTCACCAGCTTAATGTGCAAGTATACTTATACATGCATGTATATTGATAAGGGCAACTAAAATTAAATAGTAGATTTTCATCCAGATTTTTGAAAAAAATGGGGCGGGTGGAAGGATTTTATTTATTTTTTTTATTTCCTCCGAAACCCTTTTGTAATGTGATCTTCGTATGCAAGGGTAATGCTAAGCTTATATCATGTATATATAAGGAATTCTACAAAATTTTTAATTCTTAAATAAATATTTCTGATTGGCAACCACTAATCTACATGTAATTGCCGCTTTAGAAACCTATTTTCATTTAATACCAGGAACGTGGAGAAATGCTCTCTTTTACACTACCCAGTATATTAAACTTATTTTGATTTCTAAGCTATGCTTTGTAGTGCCCATAAAATGAAGGATATGCATTGGTATGCAACACAAGTATTATGATTACAGAGTGAAATGAAAACTCAAACTGTGTTGAAAATACTAAGTTTGATGCTTTTAAGATTCTTATGCAAGATGCAAATATAATTACAATGTAAATCAATGAACTTAACCAAAAAGAAGAAGTTGTTTAATGACTCTATTGAGGGTCTGGGGACAGTGGGTGTTTGCTGTTTGTCAATAAAAAATGACAGCCTTGGGGTAAATCTAAGGGTTTGCTATAATACATTATGTACGTTGGCTGACTTTTTTGGGTCATAAATCGCACAAGTTTGTGCTTGTGTCAATTTTTTTTATTCCAGTCATGTTTTTGTACCAATGTGTTCCACGAGTCTTGCGCTTTGAATATCATTCACAGTCCAAATTTCCTGACACAAAGTCATTGTATAGCTAGAAAAATCCATGGTTTTCTGTAATCACTGAAATTTGTGACATGTTGGATTTGTGTTCTTGGACAATGCCTATTACTCATAACCCGAATTGTCCATGCCCTTCCCGTAATCAATCTCTATTCTCGGAAGATAATATTTGCGTCATAGAGTAGCAAAACATGTCAACTTAATTATTTTGGTAAAAATACTGGATGAAATACCAAAACTGAAATTTTCAACAGGAAGTTTTGAATGAAACGAAATTTGGTTACCGGTAACGGAATTGAGCAAAACCAAAAATCGTATACTTTTAAAAATAAAAAAAATCAGGGCAGGACTGTTTCAGAGGGGCGGGCAGGGATGAAAATCTATCAATTAATTTTAATTGGCCTAACTGGCATTCAATTATATTTCAAAAAATGAATTGGATAAATGTTTCTCTTTAAATATATGCAATGTTTAATTTTTAGTTCCCACTGCTAAATGAATGCAATCTTTACCCTTCAGTGCTCACTAGCACTTTGATTTTTTTGTGTTGTAAGTTGTTCTTTTTTCAGGAGAACTGGGCCATCAAATGAGTTACATGTCAAGTTGGAGGAATGCTATGAACAGTTCAGGAATGTTGAGAGAGAAAGAAAAAAGGTAAAATTAAAGACATGTGTGAATGCCAACATCTTCAATTTCTGTTTATCAAATATATAGTCTGATTAAAAAAACATAAAAATTATTGTAAGGCCATTTTTAACCCTTCAGCTCTGATCAATTATTTTTTTCATGAGTAAACTCTCTTAGAAAGGTTAATTTTATAGAAAATTGCATTGTAAGTGCTCTCAAGTGTACAATTCTTGCAGGATACTTATTAAATGTATATCAAATGTTAATATCAGCAATGATTTGGACAGGTTGGAAAATCAGTACTGATCAACTCTTTTAAAGAGTTATACCCCTCCCAAATATTAATTATATAGAATATTGCATTGTATGCACTCTCACACCTACCTTTCTTGTAGGATTGATATAAGATTTATATCAAAGCTAATTTAGTAACTGCTGTTTTTTTTTATTTACAGACTGAGGCTGAATTGGCACGTCAAAATCCGGGAAAAAGGGTATCAAGCATGAATAATATAGTTGTTCCAAGGCTACCATCCAATCCCTCTAGAGTTGATAGGCTCATAGTAGACTCATTTAAGGAACATGCAAGGGTACTAGTATTTGAAATTTATTTTACATAATGTAAGAAATTCATATATAAGCATTTATTGGTTTACTTAAAAGGAGCAATTTTTGTAACCATATTTGCTGTTAAAATAATTATCACATGAAAGCACAATAATTTGAGATAAATGCTTTCAGTTTGTATAGCAAAATTTTATTTTTGCACCAGGATGCTCATTCATATATATATATATATATATATTACTCACAATGTGTGTTTAATTAAGTCTCCCAAACGAAGTTTGGGAAGACTTATTGTTTTTGCTCAGTTCTTATTATTATTATTATTCTTCTTCCTCTTCCTCTTCCTCTTCCGCCGCTTTTAAATTTGAACTTGTCCGCACCCGTTCTCCAAAACCGCTTGTCAGATTAACTTAGGGTTTCACAATATGTTATACTAACATGTCTAGTGGTGCAATCAGGGTTTTGTTTGTGCAATGGGGTTTATAAAGGGGTACTTTGAGGGGCAAAAAGAAAAGAGGGTTTTACTATAGAACCCTATGGGATTTTATTTTTTTAAATTTTCAAATGATTATAAATTGAAAACCGTTTGTGATAGACACAATCTTTTTAATTGAAAATGTTCTAAATGATAAAACCCATTAAATGAAATACAGGGTTAGTCCCCAGGGGTCATCCCCACCCCCTGCCATTTAAGAAAGTTCTAATACCTTGTAAGTGGTCAAGATCACCACCCCTAAACCATATATATTCTGGTTTGTCATGCTAAGATGGTTTGAATGATATACAGGGTTAGTCCCCAGGGGTCATCCTGACCCCCTGCCATTTGAGAAAGTTCTAATATCTTGAAAATGGTCGAGATCCCCACCCCTAAACCATATATATTCTGGTTTGTCATGCTTAGATGGTTTGAATGATATACAGGGTTAGTCCCCAGGGGTCATCCCCACCCCCTGCCATTTGAGAAAGTTCTAATATCTTGTAAATGGTCGAGATCCCCACCCCTAAACCATATACATTCTGGTTTGTCATGATAAAGCACATGAAATGAAATACAGGGTTAGTCCCCAGGGGTCACCCCCACCCCATGCCATTTAAGAAAGTTCTAATATCTTGTAAGTGGTCAAGATCCCCACCCCTAAACCATATATATTCTGGTTTGTCATGCTAAGATGGTTTGAATGATATACAGGGTTAGTCCCCAGGGGTCATCCCGACCCCCTGCCATTTGAGAAAGTTCTAATATCTTGTAAATGGTCGAGATCCCCACCCCTAAACCATATATATTCTGGTTTGTCATGCTAAGATGGTTTGAATGATATACAGGGTTAGTCCCCAGGGGTCATCCCGACCCCCTGCCATTTGAGAAAGTTCTAATATCTTGTAAATGGTCGAGATCCCCACCCCTAAACCATATATATTCTGGTTTGTCATGATAAAGCACATGAAATGAAATACAGGGTTAGTCCCCAGGGTTCACCCCCACCCCATGCCATTTAAGAAAGTTCTAATATCTTGTAAGTGGTCAAGATCCCCACCCCTAAACCATATATATTCTGGTTTGTCATGCTAAGATGGTTTGAATGATATACAGGGTAAGTCCCCAGGGGTCATCCCGACCCCCTGCCATTTGAGAAAGTTCTAATATCTTTGGTCGAGATCCCCACCCCTAAACCATATATATTCTTGTTTGTCATGCTAAGATGGTTTGAATGATATACAGGGTTAGTCCCCAGGGGTCATCCCGACCCCCTGCCATTTGAGAAAGTTCTAATATCTTGTAAATGGTCGAGATCCCCACCCCTAAACCATATATATTCTGGTTTGTCATGCTAAGATGGTTTGAATGATATACAGGGTTAGTCCCCAGGGGTCATCCCGACCCCCTGCCATTTGAGAAAGTTCTAATATCTTTGGTCGAGATCCCCACCCCTAAACCATATATATTCTTGTTTGTCATGCTAAGATGGTTTGAATGATATACAGGGTTAGTCCCCAGGGGTCATCCTGACCCCCTGCCATTTGAGAAAGTTCTAATATCTTGAAAATGGTCGAGATCCCCACCCCTAAACCATATATATTCTGGTTTGTCATGCTTAGATGGTTTGAATGATATACAGGGTTAGTCCCCAGGGGTCATCCCCACCCCCTGCCATTTGAGAAAGTTCTAATATCTTGTAAATGGTCGAGATCCCCACCCCTAAACCATATACATTCTGGTTTGTCATGATAAAGCACATGAAATGAAATACAGGGTTAGTCCCCAGGGGTCACCCCCACCCCATGCCATTTAAGAAAGTTCTAATATCTTGTAAGTGGTCAAGATCCCCACCCCTAAACCATATATATTCTGGTTTGTCATGCTAAGATGGTTTGAATGATATACAGGGTTAGTCCCCAGGGGTCATCCCGACCCCCTGCCATTTGAGAAAGTTCTAATATCTTGTAAATGGTCGAGATCCCCACCCCTAAACCATATATATTCTGGTTTGTCATGCTAAGATGGTTTGAATGATATACAGGGTTAGTCCCCAGGGGTCATCCCGACCCCCTGCCATTTGAGAAAGTTCTAATATCTTGTAAATGGTCGAGATCCCCACCCCTAAACCATATATATTCTGGTTTGTCATGATAAAGCACATGAAATGAAATACAGGGTTAGTCCCCAGGGTTCACCCCCACCCCATGCCATTTAAGAAAGTTCTAATATCTTGTAAGTGGTCAAGATCCCCACCCCTAAACCATATATATTCTGGTTTGTCATGCTAAGATGGTTTGAATGATATACAGGGTAAGTCCCCAGGGGTCATCCCGACCCCCTGCCATTTGAGAAAGTTCTAATATCTTTGGTCGAGATCCCCACCCCTAAACCATATATATTCTTGTTTGTCATGCTAAGATGGTTTGAATGATATACAGGGTTAGTCCCCAGGGGTCATCCCGACCCCCTGCCATTTGAGAAAGTTCTAATATCTTGTAAATGGTCGAGATCCCCACCCCTAAACCATATATATTCTGGTTTGTCATGCTAAGATGGTTTGAATGATATACAGGGTTAGTCCCCAGGGGTCATCCCGACCCCCTGCCATTTGAGAAAGTTCTAATATCTTGTAAATGGTCGAGATCCCCACCCCTAAACCATATATATTCTGGTTTCATCATGCTAAGATGGTTTGAATGATATACAGGGTTAGTCCCCAGGGGTCATCCCGACCCCCTGCCATTTGAGAAAGTTCTAATATCTTGTAAATGGTCGAGATCCCCACCCCTAAACCATATATATTCTGGTTTGTCATGATAAAGCACATCAAATGAAATACAGGGTTAGTCCTCAGGGGTCACCCCCACCCCCTGCCATTTAAGAAAGTTCTAATGTAAGTGGTTAAGATCCCCACCCCTAAACCATATATATTCTGGTTTGTCATGCGAAGATGGTTTGAATGATATACAGGGTTAGTCCCCAGGGGTCTCCCCCAGCCCCTTCTATTTAAGAAAGTTCTAATATCTTGTAAGTGGTCAAGATCCCCACCCCTAAACCATATATATTCTGGTTTGTCATACCAAGATGGTTTGAATGATATACAGGGTTAGTCCCCAGGGGTCACCCCCACCCCCTGCTATTTAAGAAAGTTCTAATATCTTGTAAGTGGTCAAGATCCCCACCCCTAAACCATATATATTCTGGTTTGTCATACCAAGATGGTTTGAATGATATGCAGGGTTAGTCCCCAGGGGTCATCCCGACCTCCTGCCATTTGAGAAAGTTCTAATATCTTGTAAATGGTCGAGATCCCCACCCCTAAACCATATATATTCCTGTTCATCATGTCTCGAACATTTGAATGACGTATACGGTCAGTCCCCACTGGGTTCCCCCCACCCCCAATGTTCTAATATCTTGTAAATGGTCGAGATCCCCACCCCTAGACCATATATATTCCTGTTCGTCGTTTCTCGAACATTTGAATGATGTATAGGGTCAGTCCCCAGGGGTTCCCCCCACCCCCAATGTTCTAGTATCTTGTAAATGGTCGAGATCCCCACCCCTCAACCATATATATTCTGGTTTGTCATGCCAAGATGATTTGAATGATATACAGGGTTAGTCCCCAGGCATCACTAATGCACTAACTTTACTGGACCAAACCAATTTTCACTGGACTTTGTCCAATGTCAGGCGACACTGGGAATTACGAATTATGGGAGCTTCGTTTGGGAGACTTCGTAACAGCATCCTGTTACAATCATTTCTTGTTGTAGAATTCTGTTTGTAATTTTATCAATTTCACAATTATCCAATTTCATTATGAGACAACTGAAAGGAAGAACAAGAACTAGAAACTTATATAGATGCCCCTTATAGAGAGGAATGTAATAAGTCTAAACTATACCTTCATAATAATTGTGTAGAGTTGTTGCTGCTGTCCTTTTTATCACAATGACATAATGATAGTAAGTAAGTAACAAAGTTGCCAGCCAGCTTATTACCAAATTTTACAATTTATAACAATCAGTGACAGTTCTGTTTCACCTTTTTTAACTGTAAAGATTCAGGGATTGATTTATGCTAGTTGTTTTTTTGACAGATTTTAACATTGATTGATAAAATGGAGAGGTTAAGAAATATAACAGTTCATCCTAACATCCATTCAGCCATGGAAAGATGGCTGGAAGGGATCAGAAAAGTACAGGCTAGACGAAAGGAAGAGATTGTTAATGCCACAAATCGTCATAGGAACGGTGGTCCTAGGCATCAAGAAGACAAAGGTATTGTATTAAAGTTTATAGTGCATAAATATTGTGTATACTGTGTACCTAGAACATTTTGCACTATGTTATTATGCCTCCGCAATAGGCAACAGGGGAATTAAGTGCTACCCTTGAGTCTATCCTTCTGTCCGTCCCATTTTCATTTCCACACACTAACTTAAGTTTGCCTAATGCTAATTTTATGAAACTCATACACCATGCTAATAACCAACACTTGCAGACAGAGTTCGAATTTGGGCAGTGAGTCACTTACCATTGGCATTCTAGAGTTATGCCCCTTTATAACTTGAAAAATTGCAAATTTTGCCGTTTCTGCACTCTAACTAAAGTTTGCCTCACCCAAATTATATGAAACTCATACACAATGCTAAAAACCACAACACATAGACAGAATTGGAATTTGGGCAGTGAGTCATTTACCGTTCCAGAGTTATGTCCCTTTTTCACTTTGAAAATTGCAAAGCTTATGCGGGGGCATTCTTGTCCTCAGACGCATTCTTCTTTTATTTACGCAATCTTTCTGTGTGATATCAATTATTTCTTATTTGTTTTCAAAATGCTTTAAATGTCCAAATTGAACCATACATGACAAAAACTATATGGACTCAATTTTAAACTGTGTTTTTTGGAAAACTCTGTTGTTAGAGGAAATTCTGGTTTCTGATTGGTCAATTTTTGTCTCAACTGAAGTCAACAGGAGGTGAGACTTACACATGCTATTTCTGGCAGCAGCTGCATCAACAATTTCTTAAAGTTGTTTTTATATCAGTTTATGGGGAATTACTTCAGGTTAGTCCAAGATATTTGAATAAAATTGAGAATGGAAATGGGGAATATGTCAAAGAGACAACAACCCGACCAAAGAGCAGAAAACAGCCGAAGGCCACCAATGGGTCTTCAACACAGCAAGAAAATCCCTCACCCGGAGACGGGCTTCAGCTGGCCCCTAAACAAACATGTGTACTAGTTTACTAGTTGAATGAAAATGGAGGTCACACTAAACTCAAAAACATATAAATGAACTAAAATTAAAAAAGCATACAAGACTAACAAAGGCCAGAGGCTCCTGACTTGGGACAGGCGCAAAAATGTGGCAGGGTTAAACATGTTTTGTGAGATCTCAACCCTCCCCCTATACCTGTAGCCAATGTAGAATAAACAAACAGCAATGCGCACAGTAAAACTCAGTTTAAAAAAAGTCTTGAGTCCGATGTCAGAATAGGTAACAAAAGAAACTAAGCAAAATGACAATGATACATAAATTAACAAAGGACTACTAGCAGTTACTGATATGCCAGCTCCAGACCTCAATTAAACTGATTGAAAGATTATGTCTTCATCATATGAAAATCAAGCACAATCCCTCCCATTAGGGGTTTAGTATCATACCATCATAAAATATATGAGAAGAACATGACCCGTATCATGCCAACAACTGGTTTTAGAATAAATGTGTTTATTTCCGATGCAAAGACCCTATAAGTGAATCAATATTAATACCAAAATATGCCTCCTTTAATGACCTGACAACAGTATCGTAACTATATCCCTTCTGAAAAGTCTGTTTAAAGGTTTGGTTAGCTTTTGAGGTGAATGTTGACATTTTTGTGCTTTGTATAGAATATTACCATAAAAGATTGGATGTGAAATACCTGAACTTATAAGATGTCTGCATGTTGATTTATATTTATGAATGTATTTACGAATGATGTCCTTGTACCGATGATAAATTATAGGTAAATGTATCTACAGTTTATTTAACTTATTATTTCATGAAACAACAATACCTTACCTCTTTGTTATAGTAAGGATAAATTCCTACCACTTCATTCTAAAAATGTGCACACAATCCATGCTTTTATAACCTTATAAAACTACGCCCCAAAAAAATCATTCAAATCTTATAATTATACTTGAATCAAACTTTTTGCTTGTTTTTTTTTATACACATTGTTGTATTGTTGTCAGGGAGTATATGTGCAGTCATGGATGTTGTGGTTTATAAAGATTTAAAACATCACTTGAAATCACCATGAGATTGCTATCTCCCACTAAAAATTATGAAATCTTTATGACACATCTATGTAATGTAATTATTTCATCTTACACTCTAACTATTTCAGATGTTCTTGCTTTAGCAGCAAGCATAAGTGAATTGTCAGAATTAACAAGAAGGGCAAGAACTGCACAATGGTGTTCCCTCCAGGCAGCTGATAAGGACAATCCTTGTCTTAGTAAACTGGGAATAGATATACAATCCCTGACAATGGTCACACAAGGAGAATCTGCTGGTAATGATAAGTCATAGAAAGAAATATCAGAGGAATGGTCAACTGAGTGGTCAACATTTGCCTGTACAACTTTTTGACTTGACTGGTTAAGATGATTTATGTGTGAATTATTATGTGATAGTAGATATTAAGTTCAGTCATAATCATGAGAGATACTGATCAGAAATTACTATTAGGTTGTGATATTAGAACATACATGTATTATTAAGTGGCCATAATTATTTTATTATTGTAATCAAAGTTAAGATTAGTATTATTTGATGTTATTTAGAACACTTGTGTAGATTTTTAATAATTTGCATGATGTCATATGAATAGTTTGTATTGAAGTTCCTACCTTTGGTAAATATTGAACCAGAGTGTAATATTTTATGTTTATATTTTATTAAAGTTTTCATCTTTAAACGTTGCACATTGGCTATGCTCTCTGAGGACAGGGTCAAGCTGAAGTAGGTAAAGAGCATTGTTTAAGATAATTAAATTGCAGAAATAATGCAAATTAATTTAAATTCATGCAAAATCTTATCATATTTGGTATTATTTTGTTCTCTTTCTGGAAAAAAAGTAAACAAGAAAGAAACCTTTAAAATTGCATTCAGATGTTTTAAATTATTGTTTGGAATATGAATTTTAAAGAAAACACTTTTCCAAACAATTGATTCAGATGTATTCATTCTCTTCTTGGGCTACACAAATAAACATTTGAGAAAAAACTGATAAACATTGACTATTTTCAAAAAATTCTTATTTGGACAAATACCAATTCTTGTTAGGGAGGGAGTCCATCAATTTTTACATATTTCCTCAGGTATTGTATACTAGTATCTATTCCTATTTTACATATTTTGTCTATTAATATAGATGCATGATTATATAGAACTAATATGACTCCATTAACAATTAAAGTTGAAATGCCCATCAGGATATGACATGATAAAATTGTTTTGGCCTGTAGAATTTAAATATTTTCATAGCATTTAAAGTATTTGTATATAGTCTTTCATCATTCCCTTACAAAGTTAGATGTAAATTTACTAGTTTTATTAAGTTATTGTTATTTAGAAATGATATTTCATTGCGTATCAGGTGCATATTTATTGAAACAGCTTCTTTTTGGTATTCAGCAGCGTAGTGTGATTGCTTTATGTTCATAGCTATGTTCATAGCTGTTTAAATATTATGGAAAATATATAAGAAAAAAATAATTGATAGGAATAGTATTCACCATATTGTTTCAAAATCTTAAGTCATTGGTGTCTTTTTAGTAATGTCAAATATGATTGTTTAATTTTAAAAATAGCATATGTACATGATGTACTGCAACATCTTTAAATTTTTAGAACATTTTTGATCACATGTGCAAAGTTTGTTGTCAGTTTGTCATATTTAAAAAAAATAAAAAAATAAAAGAGAAGAAGATTCAGACTTGGCAGAAATGTTTGGAAAGATTTATCAAGTGCTGTTGCTGTGGTCAGATAACAAACATAATGGTCATGACCAGAAATGGGTTACTAGAATTTGACAAAAATGGAAAATGGGAAGGACCATAGATAATAATAATTTATTTTAATGGGATCATAAATGAAAATGGGACATGTTTAAAAAATTGCTGTTATGAATCTTAAAGAAACTGTCATAGTTGTATATTATTATGTTTATTATTTAGATCAAATAGTATTTATCATTTTGTACATAGAAAGGAGGACATAGAATTTTTTATGAAGTTATACAGCAGGGCATGTAATCATATAGTTTATTAATATGTAAATATCTTTAATACTGCCATCTTTTCATCTTTGATAATAACACATTGTTTGTTATGAAAGCTTTAAAGATTTAAAGATTTTGGTGACTACATTATTTCTGTTCATAAAAAATAACAATACATAGTCTGTGTTCTAAAACTTTGCATTTGAATATAGTTCATCTCTTTTCAATATATTATTATTGAGGAGTATAAGTGCCATGTCTATGATGTCAGATTGATATAAACATGTAAATATACAGCTATTTAAATAGAATTCTTCAATCTTGTTCATGGTGCAACACATTTCTAGTCTTTCATTCTAATATATATCACAGTCTTCAAGTACATAGCTTAACAGTATTATTCTATGTGTAGTACATATTTTGTGCTGTTGAAAATAAACCCAAAATATACTTGAATTTCTTTTTCCTTCTTTACATCAGTTTCTCTTAATCTTTTTGAACAATTGAAAACAAATCAGATTTGTTGAAAATCTTGTATATCTGGGATCTTTTATGAACCGTAACATAATCACTTAAGCCTTGTGAAGCTGCAATGAATAGGAATTTTGCTTAGCCTAATTTATATTTTGCATTAAATGGATGTTTAAAAGATACAAATTAATATGATTGTGAATATAAATAGAATGTTTGGTCTTATTTTCTATTGAAATTTATTAACAATGTTGTTGTTTACCATTTTCATTTTTATAATTAGAAATCAGTTGGTTAAGTTGTAGATGCCAATTTTCCCAGTATTTTAGTTGTTGTAGAAACATAGTGATGAATAAAGAGTCTGTTTTATTTTGTAAATGTTGATTTTATAGTTAATATGAGATTAGCCTATTGATGTTTAAAAGTAACATGTATTTATTGAAGAGGCATGTCTCCAAATCAATCAAAATTATCATGTATTATACTGCCTATCAAAAAATAAACTGAAAATGCCATCCAATAAAAAAAGAAAGAGTTTGTTAAATCTTGCCAACACTTAATAAAATTAAATAGTTTGGAATTTATATGGGTTCCTTGTTTCAGTAAACAAATTTCAATAATATAATAAGTATTTATGCAAAAATAGCTTTTGTTGCAGATTTTTAAGACCCACTGTGACAGAAGCTAGATCTGATTCCCAAGGGAATCATGTTAAAGAGACATTGTGCTTAGAAACAGTTTATTTTATCATTATGTCAGGAAACTTAAATTTTAGAGTATGATATTAGGTTGTAAAGAGAGAAAATAAGTACTTAAAAGTAAAAAAAGTCTGTGTTTTACATTTTCTTAAAATTTAGTATTAATGCATTATGCAGGTGCGTTTTTTAATATAATATATATAATACATGAATAATCATGAAAATATTATTCATAAATAGACCAGGAAACAATTATCTTAATATTTGTACACTTTCTAAGAAATAGTAAATATTATGACAGATCCATTATATTCCTGGTTCTGAAAATCTTGAAATCAGAAAATTAAAATATGTAGCATTAAATAGCAAGAAACATTTAAAAATATTGATGATTAATCAGAAAAGTATTAATTGCTCCTAGGATTAAATTTTGTTCATCTTTAAAGTGAAATCACTTAGTTTTTGTTGTCCTCTGTAATTACAATTTTATGTGGCCTTTGACATTACAAACTCACTTTTTACTTATGCATAATATAACTCAGTACTTTACATGCATTTAATTGTTCTAGTGAGTACTCTACCATTTCTCTGTTGGGTTTGGGAGAAGTTAGATACTAACTTTTGAAGTAAGTGACATCCTTAGTTATCATTATTCAAAATGATAAAAAAATAAAATATTTTGAACTGAAAAGTATCATCTTGATTTACTTATTTCAAATATACTATCTTTCAGCACTGCTTTTAGTTTAGTTGAGCATAGTTGCAATAAAAGACACAGTTCTACTGTATGTTAATTAAAATATTTATATCCATTGTTTCAGCATTAATGTTATATTTTCTCTACCTTTGTTGCAATATTTTTTGTAAGTGTAATAATTTATGCAAGGTTTTTTTTCTACTTGTTAAATAATTTGGTATTAAACCTATGCACACATTCTGTATTTTGTTGTAAGGAGCACAATATATATTATAGTCACATTAATCTATGAAATAACATAGTCAGGTTTAGATAATATAATGGTTGTTTTATAGTATAATGGCTAGAATTTTTATTATGGCTGTCTTTTTTTTTACTATGTAGAAATAATATTGCCAACCCTGTCACATTATAGAAGTATGTTATTCCTTGAATTTGAACAGATTACTGCTTACTCAGTTGTAATTCTTGTAGATATCAGCAAACCTTCAGAAATGATAGAAATTTATTTTTATTATACGACCGCAAAAAATTTTTTGGGATCGTATGATGTCGTCGTCATCTGCGTCGTCGTCCGAAGACACATTGGTTTCTGGACAATAACTTAAGTTTAAGTGAATGGATCTCTATGAAATTTTTTAAGAAGGTTCAATACCACAAAAGGAAGGTTGGGATTGATTTTGGGGATGATGGTCCCAACCGTTTAGCAATTAGGGGCCCAAAACAAGCATTTTTCTAGTTTTAGGATAATAACTTGTGTATAAGTATTTCGATTACTCTGAAATTGTACGACAATGTTTAATACCACAAGTAGAAGGTTGGGATTTATTTTAAGGGTTATGGGCCAGCAGTTTAGGAATTAAGGGCCAAAAAGGGGCCAAAAACAAGCATTTTTCTAGTTTCCAGACAATAACTCGTGTTTAAGTGTATGGATCTCTCTGACATTGTACCACAAGGTTCCATATCACAAAGGGAAGGCTAGGATTGAGTTTGGGGTTAATTGCCCAAATATGTAGGAATTAGGGGCCAAAAAAGGCCAAAAACAAAAATTTTTCTAGTTTCCAGACAATAACTTGTGTTTAAGTGTATGGATCTCTCTGAAATTGTACTACAAGGTTCCATACTACAAAGGAAAGGCTGGGATCGAGTTTTGGGGTTATTGCTCCAAGGGGGGTTTCAAAAAGTTGGGGGGGGGGGGGGGGGGGGGTTTCCAATTTTTTTAGAGGATTCATATTTTTTTTTCAAAATTTTTCAAATTTTGAGTTTTTAAAAAGTTTCAAGAAGAAATCTTCATTTGCACAGTATTGCGCAATAGATTTGTAAGATCTTTGACCACATTAATTTTGTGTCAGAAATCTATATTATGTCAAAAATTTGATCACAATCCAAATTCAGACAGTATCAAGCTTGAATATTGTGTCCAAATTTGTACCAACTGTTCAGGGTTCTACCTCTGCGGTCGTATCAGGCTGCGCTCAGCGAAGCATTTTATTTTGTCATGATTGACACATAAGTTAGTCCAACCTATTATCATCAATACTCATTTTACAAAGAATTATAGACTTCAAATAAAAATAAATGTCACAGCAATTATTGCAAAAGCATGATTTACAAATTTCTTATTTAAGTCTGAATTTTGAGACTTTTATAGAAAATGAAAATTACAAAATTATTATACATCTTAAAATGATACATGATAATAATGTAAAGAAATAAAAATCTTAAGATAAAAAATGAAAAAGTGACTGCTTTTGTTTGAAAAATTGAGCTTTTAAACATTTTGATATATGTAAAGGGTTGGCAATTTTGTAGAATTGTGTGTTTATTTACTAGAGATGCCATAATATTTACAATATTTATATAGAAGTGTGTAGCTTTTTATGACAAAGGTGAATATTTATCACAATAAACTAGATATATTGTAGCTGCAAATGATCAGGGTGTTAATAGAATGTTGAAATGGTTATTTCATGTGAAGTTGTCATTATTGTCATTCCAAAGTTGAAAGACCTCATTTACAATTTTAATGAAAATCACAGTTTGAATTAATTTGTTTTTCTGGAGAATTCTTGGTAATAGCTACTAAAATTAACAATGAATATTTCAATAAACGAAGAAAAGTTCTTATTAAGATGATAATAAAACTAATAGAAATTAGAAATGGAATTTTCACTAGTTTTGTTCTGGGTTGATATTTGGTTTGAATGAAGTTAATACGACTGTATTTAAATCATTTAATGGTATGAATAATGTTGATCTCATATACAAGGTTGTGTTGTAAATTTACAAAACGCATGAAAATATTGCATGTTAACAAAGTACTGATTTTGTGGAATTCGTTTGCCTTATAAAAATCAAATATCATGTGACTGGAAATGAAAAATTGAGATATTTTTAAGGGCATACTGTACAGTTGGGTACCTACATTGATTTCCTTCAAATAAACAAAGCAAAATTATACTTACTTTTGGAGATGTTTTAAAGCTTTTCCTGGAGAAATATGTTTGGGGATTGGAAAGAACTTTTTCAAAACCCTAATATATTTATATTGTGAAAACTGTTCTGAACTCCATGACATATGTATTATTATGAAATTGTCTTCTGACCCCTAATTTTTTTTTCAAACATTTTATATGTATACATAAAAAAAACAGCACAATTTTTTCTTTAAAATTTGACATAACTTTCCTGAAGCAGAAACAAATATGATAGCAAAAGAAACAAATGTGGGTCAGTGTCTTTGTTTTCTAGCTAAAAGCCTTATTGCTGAAATATTTTTTTTTCATTTTTGGTGCTAAACACCATTGTAGTATATATTCAGTGAAACAATGAAGTGTAGGCCTTCCTGAAATAGCGTATTTGTACAACTGGATTTGGTTCTATAATGTATAATCTGGAAATTTTTGTCACCTGTTGATAGCAACGTTGTGAAAAGAATGCTTTTTACTTGAATATGTTATTATGTGCTCTTACCACTGTATTGTATGCCCTAAAATTTATTTTATTCAGTGATATTTTTAATTTTGTAATAATTAATGCAATAAAAAATTAAGAATAAATCAAAATATATTTAAGGTCATTATGATATTGGACATGAAATGATTTGTCCCAGAAAATATTTGAAAAAAATTGTTGAAATAATCCTGAGTGTTTTTTTAGCGATTGAAAACATGAAATATTGGTAAGTGTATTTTGGATGCATGCAATTATGAAATTAAAAAATTTGAAATGAAGGATATTAAAAGATAAACATTAATAGACATTATACCATAACTGAAAGTGTATTTTGGATGCATGCAAATATAAAACTGACAAATTTGAAATAAAGTATATTATAAGATTAATATACATAGACAGCATACCATAATATATAATTCAAATTAAAAAAACAAAAAGTTTGTGTTCATAGATTAATCCTACATTAGTAAAATGGAAAGATCAGATTAAAGCCAAAAAAACTACCACAATTTTCTTGTTAATGAATATATCTTGGAACAACAGAAAGGTTTATTCTTAATTTCTATATATCTTGAGAAAAAAATTGTATTTCAGCGAAAATATCCATATTTCAGCTCCAAGCATTTTTGGAAATTTACAAGAAATGATTTTTTTTTGGAAATGTTGAAGTGTATGTGAGAATTGTAAAAGAAATTTATTTTCCCTCCCCATCTGATCTCATGAAGTGAAAAAAGTCTCTGAAGTTGTCTACCTTAAATATATTTTTATTTATTTTGATTTTTTAAAAATCAAATGACAATCAAATGTTTTATTTTTTCAAATATTTAATGAGTTTATTTTTATTGCTGTAGAATATACTGACATGTATTAGGGACTTGAGTTATTTTGTATGGTCAATTGGTTTCAGTTATATTGTTCGCTGTCAAATAATGTTTAATGACAGATATTTAACAGTTTATCATTATATTTTGAATTACAATTATTGGAATATATTTAAGACTTAAAGTCTTTGTTTGAAATTAAATTAGATTAAATAAAAACTTCTTTTAAATAAAGAAATTAAGTGCTGTTATATAGAATAACTTTTAGAGAATTGTATAGTTAAAGGGGCATTAGCTGTCAAATTCATGTTCACCAAACTGACTCAAATTTTCATATTTTATTTATAACCAGATAACATACTTAAACATATATCCAAATTACAAAAAAAGCTCACACATATATCCAAATTACAAAAAGTCAAAAAAAAAACAATAAACAATTCATGGACTCTATATTATGTATCAGTATTTCCTGTCTGTATTTTAAAAAAGATGCCATCTAATTATTAAAATACAATCATTGAGATGACCCCCAAAGATTGCTGACGGTCATTTGACCTGATTAGAATATAGATATAAATATAAAAAACAGGCAACCACATGCAGTCAAATAATGACTTTTTTTCTGTTTGATTTCATTTTATAGACTTAAAAAATGTATAAATCATTATTTTACCTGTATCAGAATGTTTTTTTGTGGACGGTATCAGTCAATGAAGTGGTTCGCCCATGTAGCTCCCTTGTTTCACTTTTCAATATTGACCATTTTTCTTTTCAATAACTAAACATGCTAAGGTTGAAATTGAAGGTCACATGAATATGCATTTAAATGAATTGAATTATTTACTTGCGAGCCAATAATACTTCAGAGATGTTTTTGAGCTTATTTTGACAAAATTGAACCAAACAGACTAATAGCGAAATATGTTAACAAGTTCCCCTTTTATAAATGTTTGACACACAAAAAATAATCAAATTTCCAGTTTTTGCATCAATTGTAGCTAATGCCCCTTTAATAGAAACAGCCTGTGATATTCTTTCAACTATTTTACTCATTATCATACATCTTTTTTTTTAAACAAAGAAAAAATAATTTGCTTTTCAACTTTGTAAAACTTGAAAATATAAAAATGTCTGCCTAATCCAGTGATATTAATGATTTTTCTTTCTTTATGAATGGGTATTATATGAAATTAAATAGTGTTCACAAGTACATGTGTAATATGATTTAAGGGACTATTTTGATTTTGCAAATATTAATTGAAAGCAATACATATTTTTAAATCATTAATTTAAAATCAATGTAAATGAATATTTGTCTTAAATTGTTTAGAAATTGAGTGTTTATTTGTAATACCCTGATCTAAGGCAGAGCTGTGATTATTACATTAGTTGTTATTTATTATTGTATACTAGATTTGCATAGAAATAGTTGGAATCTCATGTTTATTATTATTGGTGTTATTTGTTGAAAAATGTTTTCCCTATGAGGGACTGAGATTGAACTGGATGAGTACTGAAAAGATTTTTTTAAAAGACCTCTTAAATTTGTGTTGCTCTTTCTTTCTACCACTTCCACATAAATACCAATGCTTTGTTGCTGTTTTTGTCATGTTCTGATTGCATTTGTATTAGAAAATTACCCAAATGCATAAGACTTAATATTGTTTTTATTCAATCAAATTTTATTTCTATTTTATTTTAAAGTAGATTGGTACAAGGAAAACGTTTTCTTTAAAAAAAAGTGGCTTATTATCAATTTTAGGATTAACACAAAATATTCATTAGTATTGTACAGAGAAAACTATTTTATTTGAAAAAATATAAATGTAGTTAAATGAGGGACAATTTTCATGAAGTTACTACCATAGCAAACTTATTTGGTTAAAATGACATTTTTACCTATAGATTAAGTCAAGTTTTGAAGAGAAATATCACCCTATATGCAAGTATGACTGATCATGCTTTCAAATGTTTAGTTTTGCATCAATTCATTTCTAAGTTCTAGAATAAATATATTAAAATCTGAATAAGTGTGTGTTTTTCAGATAAAAAAAAAGAATTATGTAAAACATTAATTTTTGAGGTCTTTTGTTGATAGGCTTTGGCTGAATCAAGTTCACATGTTAAGAATATTATATTAAGATATGGTATCCATACCAGTGGTGTTGAGTTCACTGTTTATCCTATTACACTAACATTCCAATATAAGTGTGTTTTATTTCTAGATTTAATGATCACTTGTGGCATGTGCTTCAATGATTTATATTGAAATGAATAGTTCATATTCAAAGTTTTTAAATGATGGTGAATTTCATACGGTTTAAAAAGCTGTATTAGAACTGTAAGGCTGTTTTGTTAATTAATTGATTTTAGCATTTTGTTACACAATTATTGAAATTAAAATTATGGAGA